CCTAAAACTTGATGTGTCTATCTTGAACTGTAGCTATCACAATATTATTTGACCCTAAAACTTGACATGTCCTTGTCTTGTTGGTTTGAGGGGGGGGGGGGGACCTTCAAAAACTGTTTTTGTATTACATGTATCCATTTAACCATTTTTAACATGAAATAAATAAGTTTTTTTGGTTATTCTGTATTCATTCTATTACTTTATTTTCATAAATATTTATGAAAAAATCCTCAGACAACAATCTTATAATTTTTATTATTTTTATTGCAATATATCAAAAGGTATTCAACAGTTGGGATACTTTTTCAAATATTTCATGACAAATAATGACATTATAATATGAGATGACAAATACAAGGTTTTTTGCTTCTTCTTAAAACAGCTCAGTCAGGGCACTCTTGTCGGTCCCTCACAGCTTCCTAGCCCACACGAGTAAATTAAAAATAACTCATTAACAAAAAAACAAATTAAAGTCAAGAAAGAGTAGACTACTTAAGCTCTAAAAGAACAACATTAAAAATGACATAATTTGAATTTTAAGTACTATTTTTTTTATAAACTAACTTTCTGCTCATATATTATAGTTAGTAAAGGCACTGCATTACTTGCTCAGATTAATTTATTATCTGATCTAATCACATGATTCACTGTGAGATGAGAATTTGTTCTAATTAACAGTGAGAAAATAAAAACCATAATATATATATTCACTGAATATATTTTATGACAAGAACTTAAGTTTTAGTGTTTTACACCGTTGATAAAATACTATGGTGTGTTAAGTGATGTATGCTATAAACTGATACATGCTTTAAGGTTTTTCATGCAAACTTATCTGCGTACTGCCAGCCCTAATTCTCAACTGACAGACTAGGGGGGTAGCACGTACAATCCAGTCAACAGCACCCAATGCCAACTCTTGTCTAACCAAACGGTGGAACTTGACTGACACTTTTATACAGTACCCAAGGCCCCAAGCACAATGAGATAAGACCCGTGAGGAAAAATCCTCTGATCCACAGTCTGAGCATGCTAACCACAAGGCCACACCTAGTTTAAAAGGAGACATAATTCTAGAACCAGTGAGTGAAACACAGGATAATTCTAGAACCCGTGAGTGAAACAAAGGATAATTTTAGAACCCGTGAGTAAAGCAAAGGATAATTCTGGAACCAGTGAGTGAAACAAAGGATAATTCTAGAACCCGTGAGTGAAACAAAGGATAATTCTAGAACCCATGAGTGAAACAAAGGTGAATATGTTACATCAAACACAGCATGATCTTCTACACCCAGAGCCGATGAGACTTTTCTCACAATACCAGTGCTCGTCAGGCTGGCTGGGACATGACCAGAGATAAAAGTGGTCTGCTTCTTATATACCTCGACAACTTTCAGGATCTGTTATGGTGTGAACCAGACTAAGCTGTGAAATGTAATCGTTACCGTTTATAGTCGAGTCGTTTAGAAATCACATTTTTGAAATAAGAATTATTAACACAAAATTACTTATTTATTTTGAACACTTATTATTTATTTATTATCATTATTTGAATTAACTATATTATCATTCATAAGAATTAGCAAACCAGCAAGCTAGTCTTAACATCAGGACCACAGGGAAGATATCAAAATGTTATGTATTCTTATGTACATATTTAACCGTCCTTTGTAAACTGAAAAACACCTTTAGTTACCTATGTATTATTATGTATAAACACACAATTTAATATTGTTATTTTGTTTGTAACCATTGCTTTCTCAGAGGCTAACGTTTGTGCATATAATATTTTAAACAACAGTGACTGAATCATTCAAACAACAAACAGGAACCCAAGCAGTGATAGACCTTTTCCAAAATTTGATTTTACATTATGTTAAAGACATCCTTAAAAATATTGTTTTGAAGTCGTAGTGTTTTGTTATCTTAGTTATAATAGTACATTTTAAAGTAGTAGTGTTTTGTGATCGTAATAATAGTAGGTTTAAAGTAGTAGTGTTTTGTGATCTTAGTTATAATAGTAGGCTTTAAAGTAGTAGTGTTTTGTGATCTTAGT